GAGCGTGTCTACCTTGGAGGAGACCAAAAAGGTCTACGAAAGAATATTCGAGCTCCGGATAGCCACACCGCAGACCGTGGTGAACTACGCGAACCTACTAGAAGAGAGCAAATACTTTGAGGAGTCATTCAAGATCTACGAAAGAGGTTTGGACTTGTTTAGCTATCCTGTGGCATTCGAGCTTTGGAACTTATATCTCACCAAGGCAGTCGACCGCAAGATTGGGATCGAGCGACTGCGTGATCTCTTCGAGCAAGCGGTGGAAGACTGCCCTCCAAAGTTCGCAAAAACGATATACCTGATGTACGGCAATCTCGAGGAGGAACGTGGCCTGGCGCGGCATGCAATGCGCATCTACGAGCGGGCGACACGTGCCGTGGCCGAAGAAGACCGTGCAGACATGTTTAACTTCTACATCACCAAATCTGCGTCCAACTTTGGTCTTCCATCAACACGGCCAATCTACGAGAGGGCCATCACGGTGCTGCCAGATGGCGAGGCCAAGGAAATGTGTCTCAAATTTGCCGACATGGAGAAGAGACTGGGTGAGATTGACCGTGCCCGTGCCATCTATGGACATGCATCACAATTCTGCGATCCCCGAACGAGCCCAGAGTTCTGGACCAAGTGGGAACAATTTGAGGTGCAGCACGGAAACGAGGATACATACAAGGAGATGCTGCGGATCAAGAGGAGCGTCCAGGCGCAGTACAACACCGACGTCAACTTCATCGCCTCTCAAGCGCTGGCTAGAAGCCAAGGACAGGCCCGAGGCCTCGATGAGAACGACGGAGGGGCTGATGCTATGGCGGCACTTGAGAGACAGCTGCGAGCTCCACAAGGGTTCGTTCCCTCAAGTAGCGGGCCTGTTGGCAATGGCGCAGCAAGCAATGGTGGACCAGTCATTCCATCCAACCCTGATGCGATTGATATTGATGAATAACGGTTGTATATTTTTGGGAGGACTTGGTGGAGGCTCTTCAATTCTTGTTTTTCCTTTGTATTGAACACACAGACGCATACTGCTTATTATTCTTTTTCTTTTCTTATCTTTAGGGGCTATTTTTTCAACGATGAGGATACAACTGGCAGAGTTAGTCGCCATGAAATGAATTAAAGCGGAATTGTCGAATTCTTTCCTCGGTCCTTCACTCGCTCATACTATACAAAAGACACTGACAAACAACGATCCTCCGACGCAGGCAACATGGCACGTAATACTAACACTAATCAAACACTTGTTTTAAGCAGACACTTGATGGCTCCCGCCGATTATCGTCGGTTGTCACGATTGTCAAGGGCATTCTTGACATGACTGTACTTTTCGGCAATCTTCTCGTAGTACTTGTCCTGACGATTCCGGTCGATGTGGCCATCGCGCGAGCTGGGGGTGGCATAGATCGAGCCCTTGCGCTTTTGAAATTGGCTAGGGACAGTCTTGGCAGCGTCTAGTTGGCCGTGGTGTTAGTCAATATCTCTATATAGACTGGGGAGGGGGGGGGTGATGGGAAGAACGCACCCCATTCATCACTCATTCGTCGGTCCTTCTTCATACCGGCGGCAATAGGCGACTCGTTGGATAGTGGAGGAGAGCCGACGGCGGTGCCGTCAAAGGGGTTTGCAGTAGCACCACTAAAGGGGTTGTCATGTGTTTGGTCGTTTGTTGAGTGGTCCATGATTATAGAATTCAGCAAGGCAGCAACGGTCGACTTGTATTATTGGGCAGAGAGAAAAGGAGGTAGGTCGATATCTTGTGTTCTTGAGTTCTTGCAGCGATCGGGAAGTGTGCAAGAGTTGATCAAAGAGAGAGAAAGGCACTGGTGTGGCAAGGGATAATGGAGGGGTATTATACTTGTCAGTCTTGCCTCTTGATGACGGATAACGAATAGTATGACGGTACCTCTCTGCTGAGGATCAATCTCTGGGAAGCTAGTACGCAGTCATACAAGTTAGTATTGATGATGAAGTCTTAGGGCAGCATCGACGCCTTTGATGGGCACATGTACCGGTACATGGCATGTATCGGCCCAATGTCAATACATGGTTCCCTCGGATGATGGCCAATGTTACCCTAGCTGCATGCTGTGGTGTGGATTGCCTGCTCAATGTGTGATTCTGCGCTGACCGGTCGCTGCAGATGCTCGGCTTCAACCTGACAATTCCTTGGCCCGCGCCTTTCCGCCCTCGAATCGTACCGATCTCTACAGCCTGTACCTAGCGATCATCCAGGAAGTATTTCATATGAAACACTGCTCGTCTTGCACAGCAGCGAGCCGTGCTTGTGTACCAAGCAATGGGCACATGTCCATCTACGAGCTACGATCGAACCACTTGACCTGATCGTAGTTCCAGGCCTCCGGATAGACAAAGGCAGGCACAGCTTCAGCAGGCTACGGGGTATCACCTGACCAAAACACTGCCATCGACACCCGCTGGGTCCCCCCCGAAATGGCAGTAAGTTCACGGTTACCCCGCAGAGTTTACGCCTCCCTCACTTCCCCATTCACCAAGGGTCAAGGATCAAGCGATGGCGCTTGTCACACTCTCGCCTATCAACCACTCCCTCTACGACCATCGCGTGGAAGCTGCCTAAGCGGACAGCCAGAACTCAGCGAATCAAATCGCCGGGGCCGCCCAAGCTACTTAGAGCCATCTTCAACCTCCGGCCCTCGTTGGTCGCGGCGGGCGCAGCACCATCGCCGTTGACGTCACCCGAGTGGTCACGCTGGGCAGTGCTCCCCCCAGACAAACGCCAGCACGGCACTCTGAACCGGTTGCCAAGCGTGCATTCATGCCCCTCCCCCTCCATTTCACGTGCTGTGAGACCCCCCAGGACCCTTCCAATTGACGCCAAGCCACGACGGATCTGCCCAATCTTGCGTCGGGGCCTTGGAGGTGGTGGCGACGGGGAGTCTCTGGGCCAATCCCGTGATGTCTGGCCTCCCCCTTCCCCTCCCCCAGAGACAGCACCCTGGGTTGTATCTTCTTGGTACACTGCTCAGCCCGGAGGAGCCAAGTGAGGCCTCAGAGAGGCCTCATCGGCGTGCGCGCAGGTGCGAATGGGACTTCTTGGCTCCCTCCCCTTCGCGCCCAATGCCGTAAGTCGGTTATGCAGGAGATCAATGCCGTGCCCTTGATCGGCGAATCGTGATACGCATGCTATCATGCCATCGAGAATCGAACAGTAGGACAAGAAGCGCCAGCCACCGCCATCAACTTAGTCAAAAAGCCAAGCCAACCTTGCTCCAATGACCTACGCAAACAACCCAAGTGACATCGAGCCTCTTGTACCGCTACACCCGTGCCCTGGAGCAGTCCGTTTCCAAGCAACCCCTACCGGTGGCATGGATTGAGCCCGATTGACTGGCCATCAGTGAAGCCGCTTGGATACCTCCGGCAAACAAACTTTGGCCATTCGCCCTAGCCTCGACGCCTTTCTGCCAGCGTTCAAGGATGACGGGGCCCAACATGATAGGAACGGAGGTGAAACCCATTCCCGTTCCAGCTCAACCACCAAGATTCGTCACAAGTTTCTATATTTACACAATATTGAACGACGGCAAGTCTCTTACAGGACAGGGGCAGGAAAACTCTCTTTCGCCATTTCAACATCTTTTGAATAGTGTCATTCCAGCCGGGAGGTGCCCAGCATGATGCTTCCATTCCCGAGCCAAGATGTTTACTCTTCCTGCCCCTTTCTCCCTCGTTGTACACGTCGGCCTCTGTGGCTGGCTACCCATGGCTAGATTAAGGTGGCGGCAGGGATTGCGACACACATACCAGTTTGGCCTGTATTGAGTTGCGGGCTGCAGCCGATTACGATGGCATACAATGATGTGCTCACGCAACACACTTCCTCTCCCTGCGCCCTCCATAACAATGGGAGGGGGCTGGCCGATACGTGGCAGGTCATCTTGGTCTCATCTCCCATCCGGCGAATTCGCAAGACATTCCGGTGGCTGGAGGCTCAGTGTTTCACTCGCGGCCTATTGTAGAATTGACTTTGATGAGTCTGCTGTCACTAAGACGTTCTCGCTCGGCGACGTAGAGGAAATACTGCGAATTACGTGGATGTTTACATCAGTGGTTGTTTATTCTTTCCGTCCTCAATGAAACTCAACGAAAACGACATAAACTCAGTCAATGGGTACCTTGATTTCCAAAGCCACTGCCTTTTTGGGTTGGATGGCGCATTAAGGGTGTGATTAGATCCGTCACCAAACACAAAAACCCAAAGTTGAAGGCTGGAAGCTCGGGGTACAGGGTAGTTATGCGTGTGTTGGGCGATGGTGAATGTCCTATCGGATGAACATCGGATAAGGAAGTCGAGTCTGTATCACGCCCTGACGATCTTTGGGCTCTCGAGATGTGAAGTCTGAATTGATTATTTGTATGTGGCACACTGTAAATATACCCAAAAACCTGGTTTTGATCTCTATTTCTTGTAGACGTATTGTAAAAATAAAGGGAAAATTTATGCACTTCCAGTTGACGAATTGGGACGCACCTGCCACTGCCTGAGGAGTGTCCACTATCACTGAGCTGTTACAGGCACTATTTCCAGCACAAGACAATCTTTCAGCCAAAAATTTGCCCTCCCATAGAGCATCAATGTAATCACAACTTCAGTCCCTGGGAACGAGGGAAACATCATAATAGTCCACAGATCCTGGACATTTTGGTCTCATTTCAGAGATAGGCTGACCAAGGAAAATCGCCTGGGCGTGTGAAGCTGACTACGGCACAAGTGTGCAGACTGAGTCACTCCCCGTAACGTCGATGAATGGTCAACGGTCAACTGGCTCACAGCCCACGTCACTCGACTTTGAGTCATTGTTCAGCGCGGCCCTTCTATCGAGTGTATGTGGCGGCGCCTGTATATTAGCGACCTCGGAATGAAAAGGAAGCTTAGGGACTTTCTCAGAGACTCAAAACAGTGCCCTAGCTTCTACAAGCGCTACGCATCAACCTCCCCCTCACACAGAGCAAAAGCGGCAAAGATGGCAACCGACATCAAGCTCGAGCTCTCAGACAAGGAGCAGCAGCTCCGCGGCCTGCTCCTCGACGTCGCCCGATCCATCGACGAGTCAGCGGCAGGACAGGGCTCGGCCGAGCCAGTGACCCTGCGCTGGGCGGGCGGCTGGGTGCGTGACCGGCTGCTGGGCATCGAGAGCCACGACATCGACGTGGCCATCAACACCATGACGGGCATCCACTTCGCCCAGCACATGCGCGACTACTGCGAGACGCCCGCGGCCAAGGCCAAGCACGGCATCGCCGAGAAGGACGTGGGCAACCTGCACCACGTCGCCAGCAACCCCGAGAAGTCCAAGCACCTCGAGACGGCCATGGTGCGCATGTTCGGGCTCGACCTGGACTTTGTCAATCTGCGCAAGGAGACGTACACGGACCAGAGCCGGAACCCGCAGATGGAGTTCGGGACGGCCGAGGAGGACGCGCTCCGGCGGGATGCCACCATCAACGCCCTCTTCTACAACCTCAACAAGGATATTGTGGAGGATTTCACCGGGGGGGTTCCTGACATGGCCGCCAAGCTTATCAAGACTCCCCTTGAGCCTTTGCAGACCTTTACTGATGATCCTTTGCGGATTTTGCGCCTGGTGAGATTCGCCAGTCGTCTGGAGTTCAGCATTGACCCATCAACGGAAAAGTTCATGGGGGATTCCAAGGTCTTGGATGCTCTGCGAGTCAAAATTAGCCGAGAGAGAGTAGGCATTGAACTAGAGAAGATGTTGCAAGGTATGTTATTCCCCGCTTACTTTTGAAGTCAACTTGAAATCTAAATAGTCCCCACAGGAAAACATCCCGCCCAGGCTCTGCGATTCATCAACCGCCTAGGTCTATACCGTGCCATCTTCAGCGACCCAGAGCAGGAACCCCCTGAGCTCATCTTGCTCCCGCGATGGGCTGTGGCCTACGAATGCCTGGACAGCCTGATCAAGCAACAGACCCCTCAGTCCATTGCCGACCTCCTCATCAGGACCGACGAGGCCTCCTACACGGCATGGAACCTCGCGGCCGTGGCTCCATGGATGATTATTCAAGATCCTCCAAATGTGCCCCGGAAGGCCAGCCACCCTCCTCCGGTTGGGGTGGTCGCCCGCAACGGATTCAAGGCTCCAAATAGGCTGGCGGATGTGATTGGTGCTGCGCATCGCCATCGAGAAGAGATCCTGAAGCTGAAGCTGGCCGTCAAGGCTGGCGAGGCGTGGGCCAAGGAGAGAGATACGGTCGGCATGATGATCCGGCGGTGGGACCACTTCGGTTCCTGGAAGCTTCAAGTCCTCAACGCACTCCTCGTGGATGCCATGGAGCAGCTCGAGGAATGGAAAGAGCAGAGTACCAAGGGTGAGTCTTTCTATTTTGCAGAAAGGTGCCGTTTCTTCTCGCAGGCAAATTCTCTAACAAGTGCAATAGAACAAGACGACTTCCTTCGAGACTGGCAGAATCTTCTGGACCACCTCATCGAGCTGGACGTGGTCGACGCCCCTAATATCAAACGACTTGTTGACGGGCGGGCATTGAGCAAGGCTCTGGGTATTAAACCGGGCGTTTGGACCGGGAAAGCCCTGGATGTCTGCATGGGATGGCAGCTACGGAACCCCAATGAGACAGATATTGCTGGAGCTGTCGAGGAGGTGCGGAAGAAGAAGGATGAGTTGGGGATTCCCATCTAAAACTCCCAACGACCTGTGATGGGCATAGAAAAACAACTCCTAGATACCGCAATGATAGACGAAATGACGAACTCCAATCAATCAGTTGAAGCATTTTCAGTTCGTTCAGTTTGGATTGTAGTTGTCTTTTTTGTCCAGTGCTTTGGGTTTGACTGAATACAGTGCGTGATGATAAACCGAGAGTATCCGCACTGTAGAACCCACCATTGATGATCAATCTTGAACTGTCACAGCCTCAGCCAGTAGCCTTACCACACTCGTTCCGCCTGGCTGATCCTCTTCTTTTCTTTTAAATCTAGCAGGCCAAATAATTCCCTCTTAATAAGTCATGTCAGATTCAGATCCTCTGCCTACCGGGCGAAAGGCGCCTTCCCCGCAGCTCGGCTCAGCAAATCAAGCTCGAGTAGATATTCTTGGCAAAGGTTCGACCCTCCCGGCTGCTCCTGAGTACGGCCATGAGGACGCAAGGCCTATATTTTTAATTGGTATATCTGACAATGAGACTCACAGGGGTCGAGGATAGCTGTTCATTCAGTGGTGTGGTAGACGGCCTCCCAACAGACGTCTCCGAACAGGTATTAGGCTGCCATCCATCGAGGTCGTCTCACTTCCCAAGATCCCCGCTGATAGCAATGTACCCGGAAGGATCTCGACTCTCTTTTAGTTGCGTACTTCAAATTATCACATCTGTCTCAGAAGCAGTCCATTCTCTCCAAGGAGGAAGAAGATTCAACACGCCGGCTCCTTGGGCTCCTGGAGAAGAAGCTCACCAACGGGGATGACGCAGGTACGGATGAGAGCATTACTTCTTCTTCCTATCCACGACGAAGCGTTCAGATTCCTGTGCTAATATTGGACAGGTAGCAAAAACTCAACCCAGGCCAACGAGGCTACTCTAGCCTGTCTATATATCCTGACGAGAAACTGGAAAATTGCCCTCTCAGTGGATTCCCTCATCCAGATCGCCGCATTCACAAACCCAAGCGATCCCTGGGTAACGGACGAGGCATCCTCCTTAGCAACAGCCATTCTCTCACCAGAAAACGTAGCTTCGGCAACTGGTGCCGATGCATCTGCCTTCATCACTCGATCTATCCTGCAGGACTACCTCCGTCCCATCTTCTCCAAAGCAACAACCCGAGTCACGTCCTCTGGAAGACCAACCCAGTTCCCGGACCCCGATCCCAACTCCCATCGCCAGGGCGTCGAGCCACCCGCCTGGAAAAAACACGGCTTCAGGATAATCCCCATCTTTCGCTGGGCCGTCAATGCTGCAGATGCAAGTGAATCACGTTCTTGTTACTTCTCTGACGCGCCAGAGCCAATGCAGCTAACACACCGATTGATTATTAGGAAGATCTAGTCACTACTAACTGGTTTCTATTCGCGCCCGTCCTCCTAGCCCTCATCGAGGACGCAGACTCATCAACAAGGCAGGCAGGTCTGGAGATACTCGCCACCTTCATCCGCAGCTGTCCTCTCAAAATCCTCCAGTCAACAGGCATCGGCACAGTCTTCCAGGAAGCCATCTTCCCATCGCTTCTCTACCTCCCCAGCCTAACGCCCGAGGAAGAGTCAGTCCCGCTCATCAACGCCGCGTACCAGGCGCTCCTGGCGCTAGCACGGCGAGAAACAGACCCTCGCAGCCCATCAAGGCGCAAGCTGCTAGATAAGGTATTCCGGGATGGCGTGTTCACGGCCTATTTCCATGCTTCAGAATACATCTCAGTCGTGGAGACGTTGATGAAGAACACGACTGCCATTCTCGATTGTTTGGAAGTGTATTCCGTCAAACACCTCCAGGTGGGTGTATAAACCCCATTCCCCCAAAACTCCAAACCCGTAGCTCTAACCCAATCCATTAAACAGAATCTGCTCCCCATGTTCTCTTCAGTGATAGCAGACCCTTTCATTATATCCCGCCCGACCGCTCTCCTCGAAGCGGTCAAGACTCTCAACGCCTGCCTCCGGAACTGCTGGCCAAGAATATCGTCCGAACCCAAGTACACAGCCGAGGTGATACGCATCATATCGATATGCTGGCTGAACCTGTACGACGGCGAGTTAGCATCTCGCCCATCAAGCCGGGACCTGACTCTACTTACGGATGAGCTGCGACGAAGCGCCGATATAATGCACGCGTTGAGTAAGAACGAGGATTCGTCTCAATTATCAAACGACCTGGTGCCCATCCTGCAAAAGGAGCCCAGACTATCCAAGCTCTTCTCCTGGGTACCGAACGGTCCCTAAAATCATTCCCCTCCTCAAAGCGGTGATGTGCGACCTCTTTTTGAGCCCAAGCCCTCCCTTTCAATCAACAGGCTGCTGCTTGAAAAACGACTTTCCGCGGAGCCACTTCCCATAAGCCTTGTACCTCTTCTTAGGGGCGTCCTCTTCGGCCACGGTGAGGGGATTCTCCGCAATCTTGATCAGCTCGGCGTACACGTCAATCTCCTCCTCCGTCCCCGTCACCATTAGCCCCTGCGTGCTCCAGTCGCCCTCGATGTAGTCAGTGTACTCGGACGAGTCAATGTCCGCGGGGGTATCCGTCGACACGACAAGAGGGATCGTCTGTGGGTGGCGAACATATCGCTCATAGTCCTGTGCCTCTTGGTCCTGGACAGACGGGTTGAGCGAGTCGTGCACCGCCTTGGTGAAGGTCCACTGCTCCTCCTTGTTCTTCTCCTGCTGCGTCTGCTTGCCCTTGGCCTCCTCGATGGAACTCAGGCCATCCCTGCCCTGCGCCGCCCCTAGATCCTTCACCTGTGCCGGGTGCAGCCAGCGCTGCAGCGACATGCCCCTAGGACCGTTCTGCCCAGGCGCAATCGACGCGGCGACGTCGTCGGCGCCGGTGTTTCCTGAGCTCGCGCTCAGCATGGTGACCTCTTTCTTCACCCGTTTCTTCTCGGTGTACACTTCGCCGTCCGTACGTACTCGGAACGGGCTGAGGTCGTACCGACCGTCCTGGGTGGATTTGAATGGAATGTACTTTATGGTAGAGTTCATCTTGAATGCGAACATTTTGGGGAAGGAGGATAGAGTAGCTGGACGATAGTATTCGAGCCAATAGTCATCAAAGAATTCAACAGGCTGCGATGCGGTGCCCCCTCTCAAAGGCACGAACGGGGGCAATTGTCGCTTTTCTAGGTGCTTTGGCGTGAACCAGTCAATGTAGTCGCGCTTAGGCTTGTCAGACCACTCCCGGGGGTCTGCGTGATGCAGATAATAGTCTGTGACCAGGTCCCAGAGCATCGGCTGCCCCTGGGCGAAGATGTAGTTTCCCAGGAAGAGGTTGTAGGCCTCCTGTCGCTGACTGTCGAGGAAGGAGTTGTTGTAGTAACGCTTGAAACTCTCAATCATGTCTCGGGAATGGCTTGTCCACTGATTTATCTTTCGATATGTCTCCATAGTGTTCACCAACTGAGAGCCACCGTACTGCACGGCAATCGTATCTCCGTGGTCATGCCACATGTGCGTAAAAAGATTCACGGCGTCTGTGTCGTACTCGACCGTGTTATTCTCCAGGATGCCCAAAGCGTGGAGCTGGCGACCAAGAGCACGCTTCCCGATGACAAACTGGGCCGCATTGGTTCGATCAAGGCAGTCGATGCAGTTGGTTCGAGCAATTCCGTTCTGCGCCGACATGGGGCTTGTCCTGCCGTCTCCATTCTGGAAGAACCCGGTAGTATTAAGAACAGATTCAGCAATGTCCTCGAGATTTCCAATGACATCACCGCCTCTCACTTTCGACGCACGGCTCATATCCCAAGCCTTGTGAATAATCTTGCAATCCTTGGGCAGAAACTGGTTGAGATAGTGTATAGCGTCTGTGTATTCTTTGAGCAGCTTCGACTCGCGAGGTTGCCGCTCCTTGGCTTTGATAAGATTGACGACGTATATAGGCCCTCCGTACCTCTCAAACAAGTTGTCGAAATGGGTAGCAGCGGCAGAGAAAAAGGGGTCGATCAGGTTCAGCTCAATGGGGGGTTTAGGGGTAACGCCTGTGTTATCTTGAGTCCAGTATAGAGGTATACTGCCACGATGCTGAACGTACGACGTGTATTGGGGACTGCAGTATAGTCGGGGGCCGGGAGAATGGAAGGATGTCGTCAGGGACTCGGCGACGATCTGTTCCGTCTCAACATCATTCGCAACGTAGCCGAGGTCATTTGCTCCTCTCTTTAGAAAGCGCGCTCCAGCAAAGTATCGAGAACGCCTGGCAATGACTGTAATATGTGCCGTCCTTCCGTAGATTGAAAGCGCGGCCTGGTCAATGTACCCATGGATGATGGGACGACACCAATCATACGGATCTCTAAGAGCTTCCGCGGCCGGCTGGAGAAGATAATCGTTCCAGACAAACATGGAATTACAGTCCTCCTCATTAATAGTCAACATGCCCTTGCCCAGGGCGTTCCGTTCTCGGGTAATGTTGTGCTGCAGAGTATGGGTTATGTCGTAGGAATAACTATAATAAAACGATCGAGTCAAGTCGAGGTTGTTGAGGATACCCAGAAACCGCTGTTCCTCCGAATTCTTCCCGTCCGGCTTGAACTTGGCCGGCGTCAGCGGAACAAGCTCAGTGCCCTCGATCTGATACACATAGTGGCCGCCAATCATGGCCACCGTGCTCTTCTTGGTGATGAGCAGCATGTAGTATGGCCCGGTGAACTTGATGAATCCAAGGAGACCCCAGGTGGTGCAACGGAGCTTTATGCCGCCTGTGCCCTTATTTCCGTCGTCGATGGTGTCGAGCAGCTGGCTCATCTGCTTCAGACTGTACACAATCTTGTCGTCGGTCATGTTCAACTCGGCGCCCGCGGTGGTGCGGTCGATCTTGAGAATCCTGTACCATTTCTCGCTCACGTCGACTCCGACAATATAATACCGGCTAGCGGTCTCGTACAAGCTAAACTTGTGCATTTTGTAGCTCAGGCGGTCCGGGGTCTTGTCATCGAAGGTGGCGCCAACAGTAGCAGGAGTTCGGAGGGCCGAATCGGGGCTAGACGTCCGGATAAAGGGCTTTGCGACAGAAGGCTCGTCGTCGTTGTCCTCCTCGTTCAGCCTCCCGGGGCCGTTGGCAGCATCGGACTGGGCTGGGCTGGCAGCATTGTTGTTCTGCAGCATCGGGAAGACGCGGTCTTCTTTGGGCGTCTCGGGGCCGCTCTTGGTCGCGATTTCGCTCGCGGAGGAACTCGCAGGCTCTTTGGTCGTTGTTGAGTCCGCCATCTCGGCTGGACAGTAGTTGGCTAACGTCGGGGAGCCCAGGTCATGGCAGCAATATAGGATCTACTGGTCGATGATTCATACGCAGGTGGGTAAATGGCCGTGAGTTGGTGGTGGCGGAGGCGTTCGTCAGGCTCGTTGTCAACAATGTTATCTCGCAATAGACCGGCCACTGAGCTTAAGTCTCGGCTCGTAACTCGAATCCCAGGCCCTGGATCGCAGCTGGGGGCAAGGCGTATGGGTGATGTAGATGTTGAAGTTGAAGCTGAAGCTGGGCAGTACCCGAGCTATCGAGTAGCCTGTAGCACTATTACAGTATGACGTCCTTTGTTAGAGGCGGGAATCCACGGTGGGGCCTTCCTTCCCATGCAGTAGCGCATCGACCATCAACCATCAGTCGGTTGCTGGCAAATATAGCAATCAACAGCACCAATTTGTGAATTATCAAGCACCATTTATACCAGCCAGAGTGTGCTGTTTCTCAATTTGGCCATCGTCATGTGCGCCTCGAGCGCAAGACTGGCTCCCGCGGTGCAGTCATACCCATCGGCTGGAAGCATCTGGCCCAGTCACAAGACTCTATACACTCAGCTTCGAGCCAGATCATGCCTCGATTAGATCTCGCCCTTACTGTTCCAACCCCCGTAGACCCCGTAGACAGATAGATCCGGTCCTCACACACCCCTACATTTCATTCGGAAAACAGGCTCACTTCATTTCATTCGGAAAATGGATCGCAAATCGAAAGCCATCTACAAAGGGTCTATCATTATGTACAGTTCTGCCTGCCGCAGACACCTTTGGCTGACCTTCCCCCTCTTTATAATTAACGCCCATCCTTGTGTAGATAGTTATACAAGGCCAGGCCGATTCTGATCAGCTGGGCCCTCTACCAAAGCTTGCCAAATTCAACCGAGTAACACTTCTGTCTAATAAGCATCCCTTTCCTTTCCGCCCCCCCTTTTTGCTTTCTACTCTATGCGTCAGCCTTGACTTCTTCGACCTTTCCCCCCTCTGCGCTGCCCTCTGCAGCTGGCTCCGCATCACCGTCTTCTTGCTCATCCAGTGGCTTGGATTCCACCTGGACTTCTGCCTTGGGCTTCTCCGTCTGCATTTCTGCTTCCTCTGGTTCCTCTGGCCCCTCCGGTTCGAGTGCCAGGTCGGTGCGGAGGTCAGGGATGAAGCGGTCGATTCGCTTCCAAGTCTCCACCCACAACTCCTTCTTAGATGGATCCTCTCTGGGCGAAACCAGATATCCGCTACTTGACATGAACAAGACCACGTTCTTCAAGTTTTCACGCCCTGCCTCCTCCTATTGTTTTGTTGATTAGTACTCAGTTTCCGACACGCCACCAATGCTGTGAGGGAACTTACCAGACTATCACCCTGCCCACTGTTCATCAGACGATCCATAATGTCTATGATCTCAACCCAGAGATCAAGCATGCCGTCCCACTCAGACAAAAGGACCAGATACTGCAAGAATACCTTGCAGAGAAGGGAAGAAACTTGCACTCGCATCTCGCTCATACCATCGCGGTCGGTCGAGAAGACTTCAGGCTTCAATAACCGGTGAATCAGAGGGAACAAGACTTGTCCAAAGATAGCCGTCCATTGGTTCGGGTCGCTGGATGTTAGGTCTGGGGATAACAAAGAGCGCTGCAGGCCTGAGAAGGCAAGGTGACGGACATCACGGCAGGGGTTGATGCACTGGGCCGTCAGAGACTGGAAGAATGGAAGCCAGTATGCCGACCACGCTACAACGGAGTCAGTAAGTGGCTTGAGCTAAAACCCGTAGTTGGCTAGAATGTGATACAACATACCTTCGCTGCTTTCGAGCTGTGACTGCTGCATCAACTGCGGAATACGCTCACTGACGGCCTGCAGAATAACCACAGCCTTGCAACCTCGTGCAATAGTCTCATCGTCCCTAGAAATAGGTTTACTTATTAGCAAATTGTATGATTTGTTTAGCTGGTTCATCGAGCGGACTCACTTGGGTTGGACCTGTCGCTCTTGCTGGCGTTGCTTTGGCCTTGGCTCAGCTTGGACAAGAGGGTTCGCCGCTGTGGCATAATCATTCAACAGGGAGATAGCCGCTTCATAATTATCAGCCATGATCGCAGGAGGATTTCCAGTCGAGCCCTTCTCCAAAACGTTGAAAACAAGAGGAGAAGACTCGCGGTTCCGGGCAAGGATGCGGAGGATGGCCCAAAAGTCTGGAGATGTCATTATCTCGCTCCTCAACGGTCCTGGCTGCTCGATGCAGGCCGAAAGACCAGCAAGGGTGAGAGCTGCTCCCTTAGCAAGCGTAGCGTGCGGGAGACCAGAAATATTATGCAGGAGATAGGGTACATTCGCGAAATCATAATCCTGTATCAAACATTAGCTTCTACCTTCCCTCGACGTGATCGTAAAGACGTACATAGCTAGACTTGAGGATGCTCAGAGAGTAGAACGTAGCTCGAGACACAGTGATAGCATGCCACTGGCTAGAGTCACGAAGAATACCCTGCAGAACATCAAAGACTTGCTTGCCAAAGGCCTCGACGGCAGCTTCGCTCTTTAGCGCGAGCCTTGTAGAGACCTCCAGAAGGAAGTTGACGGAGGGATCATACTCCAAGGGCTGCTGGCCCGCTTCATGACCATTGATAGGAGCAGGCTGGGGAATGTTCTCATGCTTCACACTGATCACAGTGTTGTTGTTATCCTCAGGCAGCTGTTCAAGGAGTGCTTCAACCAGCAGCTTAGCGGATTCCAAAGGAAGATTTCTGCACAATTTGTCAGACAAGGTGAACAATCTCAAAACCTGAACAGGGACAGCACTTACGAGACATTCTGGAACACCTTCTCGATATGACAGGACTTGATGCAGTCAACTGTGCAAAGTGTGCTCTCAAGCTCCTCATCCGAAGGTTCAGGAGGGTCATCTGCAGCATAGCTCGAAATATAAGACGTGAAAGCAGAAAAGAAACCAGTTTCTTGTGCCCTGTTCGCCCTATCGATCACCTGGGAGGGGGTTTGCAAAGGAATGGGTGGAATAGGCAGGTCTGGGAGGTCTGGCGACGAAAACTGCGGCGTCAGAGAGTTGGAAAAGAGATTCAGCCATATACGAATGATCTAAGGTTGACAATGTTAGCAAGCCAAAATAAGCTCTAGGCGCAAATAGGACGGCCGTTTCTTACATGTTTCCAGCTACTGCGGATGAGTTTCTCGCTTCCAGTAAGGACCCTGAACAGGACAAGGGTGGCAAGTTGCGCTCTGAAATCCCGGCCGAGCTTCACCGCCAGCTCGCTAACCATGACGCTGCCGTCTCCAGCCTGGACCTCAGTGTTCAGAGAAGTGTTGAAACGGAAATCGTTGGAGAGAGTGGTCATATGACTGAGGCAGAAAACTATCTGGTCGAGAGCCTCGGTGTTATTATACTTGATAGCGATGCGGGCGCACTCATCAAAGCCACTGACAATCCGTGCAAAGACGGCATCGTCAGTAGCGGACATGAACACGTAGGATAGAGTGGAAACAATTGGTTTCCAAGTCGCATTGAACATGTCTGCGTCATAAATATTAGTGTCACAAAGAACCAGATCCTCGGTTAACTCGGCCTTCAACAACAGCTCACGCCAGGCATAGTCAAATGCGTGCTTGTTGTCATGCTCGTCAGGCAGAATGATCTCGTTCGACTTGATCGAGTTGAAGATATCTTGCAGGAAACTAGGTGCGAAGTCCTTGCCGTCGTTTTGTCCCCGCAGGTTTCGTGAGAAGTCCTCATACGTCATTCTCTTGTTGTCCTTGAGCCTGGGACTGTGCTGATCTGTGTTGAGGATGATGATGGCATACGTCAGGATGAAGACGGAATCCTTGTGAGTCACTTCATCAGGGTCATCGCCAGCCATGTACTTCTCCGAGAACGCCTCAACGATGACTGCAATCAGAGGAGCCTCTCCGGGGAGACGGAAGCTCTCAAGGAGAAGTCGCAAGGCATCATCAACACGCTTGCCAGAGAAGTCAAACTGGTCCAAGAAGGCTTCCAGGAATGCTCCGTTACCCTTCTTGGACAAGAAGTCACCCAGGACCGCTTTGGAGACACGAGAAGTTCCGTGAAGGAATTTTGCAACTTCCTTAGCGTCATTAGGATCCTTGATAATACCCTGTGCTTCCAGATATGCCAGTCCTCCTCGTGGTTTCTCGTTGAACTTTTGCACACCCTTAATGATGACACCCTTCTTCCGTCGCTGCTCTCGCAGAAAAGCAGGGTCAGGGTAGCCCTCACTTGTCTTCTCTTCATCATCAAGCCTCTCAGCGAGAAATTGAATATATCGCAGAAGAGCATCGAGGCACAGAGGGGGCACACTGGTGGTGCTCCAAGTAGCAGAATCAGGCAGAGCATTCCGTGCGAGCAGTCCGATCATGTCCTCGCACAAATCAGACCTGTCCACGTCACAGTCGTAGTTCACAAACAACTCGGTGATGAAATTTGGCATCCTGCAGAGAACTCCGATGCTCTCAACCATAGCCTGGCGAGCGTCTGGTTTGCGAAGACCACCTTCCAAGCCGAGGTTTCGACGATCTTGAACTGGCACGGGTGTGGCTCGCCCGCTTGTCACAGGCCTGGGTGCTTGGGGAATGCCAGCATACAGGGAGGGGTCGATTCCAGGTTCGCGTGGGATCTCAACAGATGGGTGTAGGCAGGCCACGACGTATGCTAGGAAGAGCTCCTGTTGTAGCTTGAGGACCCCCCTACAGGTTGCCAGCAGGGTTCCAGCAACAATCAACGATTCCTGTAGGATAGCCATATTGTCGGACCTCACGAGTTGGAACAAATAGCAGCACAATCGATCCTCCGCGATAGTCGCTAGTGCCGGGTGGCGAGCGATGAAGGGTCCCGAAACTTCCAGGGCGACATGAATGATGCGCATGGCCATGACGCGCATAGTGTCGGTATGTTGAGGATTATGAGGGTCCAGGAAGTTAACGAGGACTCTGAATAGCTCTCGGACCGATGGTAGGGAGTATGGCTTGAGATCCAGGGACTCTGTTTCTTCGGTTTCCAGCTGGCTGTCGATCTTTGATTCGTCTCCTTCTTCGGCTTCGGCTTCAGTCTCGCCTTCCTCGCTTGATTTCTTCTCTTCTCGTTCAGACTCGGAGCTCTTAGTGCCCTGTGACTCGGAATCGAGAGGGGCCACGGCCTTTTCGGGTTTCGCATCCATCCGTACACTGTCCAGATCATCCTGGGTCTGCTGGTCCAAGGTTTCGGGTTCGGATCCAGCCTCGACCTCCAAATGTTTGATATCCTCGAAAATGATCTGGCACATGCGCACCATGGCAGCTTCAGCCGTGCGCCGCAACACTGGGGAAAACCGTGGTTGGGAACAGATGGCCAGCCCCCGACCCATCATATCACAGACACTCTCGTCGCTCAAAATGTCGCCTCCAGGACCGGACATCATATCCTCCATAAGGTTGAGAATCATAAGCAGCACCACCTCGGCCTGTCCTGAATCGCTTATATCAAACTGGCAGTGTGTGACGGCCGCAGAGAGTGACTGCATCGCATGGGCGAATCGTGGGGACTCGGGGCAAATGAAGCCGTATGCGAGGAACTTTCTGAGGGCTCCCAGGGCGAGTATCGTGATCGGTGCGGCGGTTCCCTTTGCCTGGATGACATTCAGGAATGGCGACAGAAGAGACGGTGCGTCGAAGGACTTGATGTCTGGTCTCCCACGTTAGCAGCTCACCCAAGCGACAGCAGGTAATAGAGTCCGGGTCTTACCCTTGATACCAGCGATTTCATGCCTCAGCTTGCCAAACCCTGCGATCAGGGGATTGTCCTGCATACTCTTCCCCTTTTGTCCCCTAAGACCCCATCGGCTCGTCCCCAAACCATCTGGATTGCCATCGATGGACAGGGCTGGGCTCTTGGCCCGACCGCGCGGACTCGGGCTGGGCGGCCCTAGGTTTATAGAATTCGGGTTGCCTCCCAGGATGGCCGAGACGGAGGAGTGTTGAGAGCGTGCATGTTTCTGGATGGCTGATGTGATGGAGATGCACTCGGAGATGACCAAGGAGATTGGGTCTACAGCGACAGACACCGGGCGACTTCGATACTGCATTCGCGGGGCATCGCCGCGCTGCTCAATGATTTGCGAGCCCTCCATCGGATTCAAGGGAACGGAAGCATCGCGATTCATGATCTTTGATAATCTGGAGAAGCGGGAAGACGGGGGAGGAAGTGTTAGCCTTGCCTGCCACGGTAAGCAGCCGCGCTTGGTAGTGCAACCCACCGAACAGATGCAAAAACGAGAGCCGGCCCAACATGCACCCGTCAGACGTTACCGAGGCGTTGAGAAGTGGCAACAATGACTCCTAGAAAAGAAAAGCCAGATCTGCCAGAGAAGTTCGTACGAGTTTCTGAGTCGTAGCAGTAGCCCAGCACCCCGTAGTTGCTGCCAGGGGAGCTTCAACGGTGTCGTCGATGAGTGCCTGTGATTGGCCGGTGGGGGCTCAAGCTTACTGGGGCCACAGTTACAACTCGGCTGCTGTGGATTGGCAGCAAGTGGCTCCAGGAGACACCTGCAGCCGCCGTTCAACCACCGACCACCGGCATTACGTCGATCAGTGGCTGATGTGGTCTCTGCTGCACTCTGTGTCTTTCCACCAATCACTCCAATCTAATGCGGCAGTACACTTAACATGTGTTCGTCAATTGCCATTATATCAATCCGTATCACCAACACTCTAGACCCATAGCCTGCCTATTATACCCAACAGCTAATGTCCGGGTGTACAGTAATCTATTACCTACCATTTCCATCGCTTGGAGCCCCGGCACGGCACCACAACCGAAATGACAACTTTAAGAGTTCCTAACCTATACTGCTTCATATTCTTACAGCAATCACGACCACCTTCTATTATTATTCCCTTTCATATATCTCTGGCGTATATCTACAACATAATGTGATTTATGCTAAGGAGAATATTGTTTTACAGCCACTAATATGAATGTTGGAATAGAAGTTTCCCGTTCAGGCACGCTTACATGGGCATGCAATCATACAAAACCATTTCCACGTCGAACTTCAATACAATGCGTTAAAATGGGACGGCTGGAGAAAATGTCTATGCAAGGCGGCCACGGAGAAAACACCACTCATGGTAATGCAGACAGGCTGTGATAGCGCCCAGATAATTGTGATGATAAAGTACAGCAAAGACAAACAATGTAAAAACCCAGGCTTGTCATGTTATCCATAACAAGACCACCTCTAACCCGTTTTGAAAACTCTATCAGTATAACGCCTTTATTCTGCCAATCGCTTCTTTTCGGAATTGCCTGCCATGACATTGTCATCCTCGGCTTCCGCTTGAGCCGCTTTTTCCTGCTTGGGCTTGGGCTTCTGTCGACTGGCCTTGGGCTTTTCCCGATTAGCCCTGGGCTTCTCATCAACCTCAGACTGCTCTTGCTTAGCCTTTGATTTGCCCTTGTTGGTTGCAGGCTTCTCGTCAACAACCTCAGATTCCTCTTGTTTGGCCTGTGACTTCTCCTGTTTGGCTTTGGGCTTGCCCTGGTTGGTTGTGGCCTTCTCGTCTTCGGTAGCGAGCTTCTCCTTGTTGGTGTTCTGCTTTAGTTGGGCGACCTTTGCTTTCTCCTCCTTGACTCGTCGCTTCTCCTCTTCAGCTGCTTTATCTTTTAGCTCCTTCAGCTCTTGTTTGTCTTGTTCCCAAGTGTCAGCCCCATCACCAAACTGCTCCTTGAGTTTTGCCGCCTTCGCCTTCTTCTCTTCCTCCTCCTTTTCCCGCGCGATCCGCTCCTGTTCCATCTCCTAGGGACTTTAGTTAGTACATTGGCCGAGGCAGTCGATGCTATAGTTCGAACACGTACTTCCATATGCTTGATATCATCAACGCTGGGCTCGTAAAGATGCCAAATAACGTAGTGGGGAAGGCCAACGACAGAATACTTCATGCGCTTGGCCATCTAAAAGTGCATCAGTATATTTTCGGATTTCGCAAATTGGTATGAGACACGCACCTTTCCGAAACCCTCGGTTTCGGCATGCTTCTGGAAGCTGAAGGCGGGGAAATGGACGCCAGTTCGGAAGACCTTGGCCTTGGCAAGAATACTGACACCGCCGACGCCGTCGATCTCCATTTCCATGTCCGGGTCGCCGTAGGGGTCCCGAAGGTAGGCCAAATGTGGTCGCCATGTGGCGTACTCGGCGTAGCCCTCGACGATGACGGCATCTTCGTCCAAGGTGTCTGCAAGCGCGAGGGCGGTCTCGGATTCTTGCCATGAGTTCAAGTCGTACGGCTGTTCACCACCAAGCCAATCGGGAAGGGGTCGCCAAACATCTGCAAAATTGTTAGCTCTACAGGTTTGCCGGAGGTATAGAGGAAATACGTGCTTGGAACAATGACATCCTTGTTGTGTCGCATGAGGTCCTCGAGAATCGTAAACGGCGCGGTCTCGACATCCACATCTCGCCAATACACCCATGAATGGTAAGGACGAAGGGCGGCGCTTAGAAGCCAGTTCCGAGCTTTGGCCATCAGCTTTCTTCGGCTCGCCTGCGCGGCGAATCCGTGACGGCTTTCGACATCCTGGTTGACCTCTTGACCGAAGTCTTTCTCGATAATGGAGACCTCTCCGTATGGTTGTTTCGGATCAGAGTCTGCCTGGATTTGTTCTAGGTTGTCTGACAGAACTTCGAGGGTCCGGTCTTTCGAATCTGAGACAAGGAAGGCGAGGTCGATGAGGTGGTGCGGGTATGTAAAGTTTCGCAGGTGGGAGAAGAACATTGAAAGATGTGGTTCAGCGTCGCGTAGTGGAACACACAAGAGGATACGCTCTTCGCGCTCCCATCCCCGTGCTGTGCCTTGCACATTTGTTAAATCGTAGTATCGCACTGTCTCCAGCTCTAATTCTGACGATGCGCCGAGTAGGCCCAGCGACAAGATCGAGGCGAAAGCACTCTTGGGCCAAACCCATAATGTAATTAGAATCACGACGAAGAATACGATGCCGAGTCGAATCAATAATCGTTTGCGCTGTCGTTGGGCTGCGATGGATGTGCGAGGTTGGAAGCTGGTAGGAGAACCAAGTTAGCGACAGTCGAGGCAGGGAAACAGCTATCGGTCGGAGGCAAACCTGTGTGGAGAAAGGTCAAAGGTCTTTTCACGCGGATATCCATTGGAAAAACCGCTCGCTTGATGCCGGGGCATCATCTTGAAGGCTGAAGGAAATACATAAAGAGGTTCCGCGTCGATGGTTGAACCCCTGACAGCCGCAAGCGACGGGTGTCTCTGGACAGTTTTCCAGAAGTGCAAGCTCGTGCAGTAGAAGACCGATAATAAATGCGACGTTAGTGCCCCAAAGCTTGGCAAGATTAGAACACCATTGACGGTGGGAATCGCCTGCAAAACGCGAGCTGGGATAGGAAGGGTGGTTGATTAATTGTAGGCTTTTACATGAGGATTCAATTCTGTCCAGGTAGATGTTGCGACGATGGATGGATCTTTTGATTGCCCGACTGCCGGCGGCCTGTCAATTAGCACCTGCCCTCTGTATTGTGGTGATACGCAACACCGCTAACGCTTGTCTCCTTTTGCTTTCGTGTGCAAGGAGGGGCCATAATTCCCATGCCTACAGGCCCATCCATCCCACTTAATAATCATGGCCTCGACTCCTGATTGTATTTTTAGAGGTCTCGCTGTGTTTCGTGATCGACATTTTCACGTCGACCACCGAAATTGGGATGGGAGGCTTCAACGGTCAACAGTCACTCAGAACCCAGAATTCAAATGAGACAGGCAGACCACAGCCTTACTAAGCAGACTTAGGTGAGCGGCTGCGTCAGTATTGGAATTGAGCTGTTGGCATGGAACTACGGCCAGAACGGCATCATGATTGCTACTTCATAGTGACCTGTCTCACAGGATTACGTCTACGTCTGAGGGTGGGCTTGCGCTTACGCTGGGTGTCCCTATGACTTTTCAATTGTTAGTCGATGACTCAATGAAAATCGCAAGTAGATGTAAGAAAGAAAACCAAAAATAGTGCTGAAGGTCAGACAAGCCAGTTTACTCAGTCGGCCTGGCCGTCCTAGTCCAGGAACGGTTCAAAACGAGCCATTCCTTTCCCAAGCGCTGGAGTCGAATTACGGGGTAGGCAACTCTACAACCCATCATCACTTCGCCAGACAAGTCTGGTAAGCTAAGGTGTGAGAGGACGACTTGGCCAGGACGAGGTCGTTGAATGGATATAACTTGTTATCATCATCCAGACATGATGGTCTAAAGGTAATGTAAAAATCACAATGCCGACTTACAAATTGAGAGGTTGGTGGTAGTGAGGAGCTACGGGTAGAAATGAATCCTGGAAAACTTCTTATCTGTTAGCTTGGTTCCCAACAAGACAGAGCAATGGCACAATGAAGGACATGAGATCGTATCAGAGATCTTGGTATGGTAAATTGGGAGTCATCACATTGGTTCAGTAGCAGAACTGGATGAAAAAGTTTCTCATCATCGACAGGGAAGAGGGGATGTAAGGAAAGAAATGTTTTGTTTGGCTTACCTGTTCATTGATCCTCTACTAGGCCAGTAGATCGACAGACCGCCTGTCCCAGTCAAGAGAAAAAGCTGCTCTGGCTTTTGGCACAGTTAGTCGATATGCGCTTCGCGAGTATGAAAATAAAAATAGATCCAATGAAGCAGTAGAGATCAGATGGTAGTGCATGTTGTTCAAAGCGCTCAGGTAGTCGCGGGAACAGTGGATAGGAAATCATCATGTAGGAAAGGGTGGGAAAATCGTCGTGCTTTGAAAGGAAGCGTGCGAAGCCAGCGCGCTGGCCAGAGAAAACTTACCTTCTAATGATTATTTCCTGAGGAAAAAGACTGCAAGAAGCCAAGAAGGCCAATTGATGACAGCCATCCATGGACTCACTGCTCAGCAGTGACTGAACCAAGTCCTGCTTGAGGACATGAAGGAAGGTTGATTCTTTGTTGAATGTTCTTGCAGCTGAGAATTTTTTTTTGAAGGAGATTGGAACTTTAGTGTGGGTCCATGCAATAATCCGATATGTGCATCTAGTAATGCGCTATGCACTAAAGCGGGATTCATGATTTAGTGCATTTTGCAAGGCAAAAGACATACATTTGGGCGTTGACGAACACACAAACTATCACAATTTACAACCCGGATTGTGAGATCCAGCCAAAATGGCGGATAGAAGACGCATCAATGGGCCTGGAGGAACTACCCTACCTCCCCTCTACGATGACGACCCATTACCTCGCCCATCCCGGTTAAGAGAGCCCAACGGTGTTCGGTCCGTCTGTAAGTTTCTTACCCAGCCAGGTATTCAGCCGGCAGCACAGTCTACGAACGATAAAGCTGAATGAAATATGAAGATCTCAAAACTGGCGTGACGCCATCTGCATCTGGCTCAGCCTATCTTGAAGTCGAGTCTAGGAATGGCGCTCCTACCACGGGCATGAAGCTCTCATGTACTGTTCATGGCCCAAGGTCTTTGCCACGCTCGGCGCCCTTTTCACCCCATATGGTCCTTACTACTCACGTCAAGTACGCTCCATTTGCTACGAAGAGTCGGAGAGGATATCTGCGAGATGCCAGTGAACGGGATCTGAGCACGCATCTTGAGACAGCTTTGCGAGGCGTCTTGATAGCAGATCGTTGGCCAAAGAGTGGGGTGGACGTTGTTGTCACCATTATCGAGGGTGAAGAGGCTCGCCAGTTTGCGGTGGACCAGGGAAGTGAGGAATGGGATATGATGAACATCCTCAGCGCCTGTATCACAGTGGCTGCCGCTGCAGTTGCTGATGCGGGTATCGATTGTGTTGATACTGTCTCGGGTGGTGTTGCTGCCTTAGTATCTATGAGTGGTGATGGAAAGTCTGAGATTGTTCTCGACCCAGTTGCGACAGAACACGATGAGATCCTCGCAGCCTGCTGCGTTGCATATCTCCCCACCCGGGATGAAATCACCAACCTATGGCTGAAAGGTGAAGTATCATCAACCGATCCTAGCCTGTATCGGACATTAATAGCACGTGCTGTATATGCCAGCAAAGGAACGAACCAGGCAATTGTTGGGTCTCTTAGCGACGCACTCACTGGAGTTTGATTCTTACTCGGCCCTATTCGATGGACGACCTTGATCCGCTTCGATGCTTGTCGGCTTCCGGATTTCGATCTAACCATCTTCAAGACCGTTATAGGGGTCGGGATCGAAACTGAGCATCGAATGGATCGTTTACTAGGTAGTTGATCATTGTGGCTAAGCTTACAATTGATTGAAGCTGCGGGACCTGCACGAATCTGAAGATGAAGCTGCTCTCAGAGCGCAGCGAGACGAGAGATGAAGCCCCAAGGAAAGGATCGACTGGGGCTCCTACTTCCTTGAGAGACACTCTTGTAAGCTTCGATATAATGACGAAATGTCTCTGGACATGCACACAGGACTGGGCGGTATTGGGAAAAGAGGGGGTTATGCCTCAAGGATGTGATATCTACAAATGGGAATCGCTGCATAGGCATTGACGATTCAACATGATGTTAAGAAAAAAATCAAACTAATAGAAATCCGTAGCAAACTTCGGACTCGCAGGGCAAATGAGACTTGGTGAAATTGGTCGGCTTTACCTCCTTACACTTCTTTCATCCCGCCTTGTATTGTATGGTGACATGGGATAAACAGATACCTCTCCCACAGAAGAAAGTGATTCGATCCGAACCTTCCACATCTGATGCTATGCCTGCATTCTAGAGCGGCTATTACTGATCAACTAGGAGATTGGCCTTGCGGGACACTGGCTGTTAATTTCCGAACGAGATAAGACTTAACGAAATGTACAGTGCCATCTGAGAAGCGACAAGAAGGAACACTGTGCATTTGTGTTCTCCAGGCGCGTGTTGCCCCACCTTCTCCATGACGCGAGCCGCGATATCGGCACGGTGCAGGTGCTAGCATCTTATCACCCCATAACAGCTGCCCAGCATCATCTACAACCTAACACTCAACGCCAACGGCATACTGCTTTGCCAAGCACCAACCGTCTGGGCATCATCACCCTGCGAGACCGGGTATTTCTGTTTGTGGCGAACCGCTGGTGCTGATCATCTTCTGGCCTTCGGCATTCTCATTCCTGCAGCAGCTCAGGTATCATGGGCTTACTCTGCACTGCTACCTAATCGATCGAGCCAATCCACCGACCGTGTCGCGAGACACCCTCCTCGAATCCCCGCTCGCTTGCTATGGCAGACCCAGGGGTATCTGTCCTCGGCTCCCAGAATGCCACGAATTGGACTACCATGACGGCCTGGACTGCCAACCTAACCCGCTATGCGCCGTCGATGGAGGACCTTGTCTGGGCTTGTCCTCGGATGTTTAAGCGGCTCGGTTCCTTCATCGTCACTTCCGATGCTCAGTCCTTGAACGAAACCGCCGGCCAGCTTGAAACCAACCCCGCCGCACTTGGTGCCGATCTCTTGCGAACCGCGAATGCGACCTTTGAAACTCTGATGGACTTGGGCGAAGGCGGAACAGCCGGGGGAGCCGCCACAGCGGAGGAAGCCACCGTTCGACGGCTGTCCCTCGAAGGAGCGCGTAGTTTTGGAGGAGTTTTCAGCTATGTAACAAGCAAATGGGCATTAGCCTGTATTGTCATGGCAGTCGTCCTCAACCGAACTCATATCTATGCTGCTACCCGGCGCCGTTTACAACTCCGATGGACCGTCCGGCTTGTGCTTAGGATTGTTCCAATCATCTGGATATCCATTCATGCGGTCCGGCTACTGCAGTCTATTCAATGCCAGACGTCACCAGATTTTGCCGAACTACGTTGGGGAAATTCTAGCATGAAATCCGACCTCATGTTTTCCTATAATAATCCATTCTTTAACCGTCTCGGCGCCACTATTCTCGGCTCTACTGACGAGCAGTCCTGCCGATCGGTGAAGATGATTTTATCAGAAGATGACGATGACACTCAGCATATTCAGGGATCATTATCTGCGCTCTGGCCTTTGTTCCTGAGCTTTTGCTTGAGTAACTTTATCGAGAGTGTGTCATGCACTGTCCAAGGTCGACCGCACGCATCTGAAGTAGCCATGAGCTTATTTGAACAGTCACTTGCCTTTGCCGAGGCTGATGCAGCCATAAGCAGCCAGTTGAGTTGGAGTTCGTTTACCAAAGGCTCGGGAGTCAAGGTGGCAGTGAACGGCACCACCATCGCATTGACACGGTCGATGATTATGAATCGCGTGAATACGGCTCCTGAAGTCTTGTGGATTGCTTTCCTCTGTGCGATCACCCACGTCACGAACCATATGCTCGGCGTTTTCGACCTTCAAGCTAAGTTCCGACTGTATAACACGGGCATTTGGGCATTCTGCTTCATCGGTACCTTCATCTGGTCGACAGTGACATTCGACTTGGATGACCCTGCGACTCAAGGCCTGCTACGATTCCCAGCTGTTTGCATTATTGGAATGGTACCGCATATTCTTGTCCTTTTCGGCATCATTATATGTTTCTCCATCTACGGGATCGCCTTGATCCTGTCTGCGCTCTCCTCGCGTGGAGACGATGAGCAAGCCAGCATGTCATTCCGTCAGCGTCTGATACATGCGCACCAAAACATGCAGGCCAATATTTCATTATCCGAGATTAGGATAACTAGAGAAATGGATATTTACACTGCTTTGTTGAGAACAGGGTTCACCGCTGTCACTATGGCTAGTGAAGCAGTCTACCTCAACGAGGACCGCGGTGTGACTATACAGAGTCATACGTGGCTGGACAACGCTCGTCTTCAAGAAGCAGAGGAGATGCAGAGAAATTGGAGTGGTCTTGGGCTCACAAATAGCCAATATGACAACATAGGAGCAATCGGTCTCGTCCCAGTGCAAGGCAGATATGGATACTCGGCAAATGGGTACGCTAGAGAGCGGGCGGCACAGAAAGTTCCGAAAGGGGGCGTTGACCGCAGTATTCGCAATGGAGTGGGCGCGGCCGAGAGAAGTGCTCGCTGGCTGATGGCCCTCGAGCTGTTCCTCACGGTCCATAGACTCTTTGCGCGAATCTCGGCGTTGATCCTGCTATGGATGTTCCGTGTTGCTCGTATCCGAGCCCAGCCCGCATGGCTACTTCAGATGGCGAACCGATCAAGTGATAGGAAGGAAGGCAAGAGCGAGGACAAATCCAAGGACGGACCAGGAGGCTCGGGTTCTAGAACTGTTGATGAACATCCCCTCGCTAGACCCGAGAATCAGGATATTGAAGCCGAGTTTCGACGAAGTGAGCCCTCCATGAACGAGGAGTATTTGGAATCAGAGCTCTACACCTACTGGCTTAGGGGTGGATGGTGGGGTGGACATGACTCCAGCGGTGACTTCAGGCCAGCTGTGGCCGACGATGATTGGGATGCGACGAGCGTGGTCACGGCTACGACAACTGATGGTGACAGTCAGGATGAGTATGCCTGGGAGTCTGAAGAGGATGGACAGAGGACACCCACTGGACGGTCGCCTCGTCGAACCCGAGATGAAGCCTCCTTCATCGACAGCCCGTTCTCTATGAATGATTTTGCTCGCCTCCTGCAACCTAAGAGCCGAGAGGAGCGCGAGCATGCCCGCAATTTGGCCGCGCACCTGCAGAGCGACAAGATCATGACGAGGTCGCAGTACAGGCGGATTGAGAGTCTTCAGCGAACACGTATTCTCACAAATCCCGGCTCAGGGCCCACCAACGACGGAGTCATGGCAGCACCTGGGCGAGGCGGCAGGAAGCTTTCGCCTGATGACGAGGAGCGAGTACTGGAGCAGCTGCTCCTTGCTCGACGCAAGTCTGCAGCTGTGCCTGCCAGCATGTCAGCCAGTACCTGGCAAGATGGCGCAGCCGGGCTGGGTAGTGGCGGGCCTCCATGCGTCGTGTGCCAGAGCTCACCACGTTCCGTCATTGTCTGGCCCTGCCGCTGCCTCAGCTTGTGCGACGAGTGCCGCGTCTCGCTCGCCATCAATAACTTTGACAAGTGCGTGTGCTGCCGGCGGGATGTGATTTCTTTTAGCCGTATCTTTGTTCCCTGAGCGAACTACCAGCGATTGATTAAAAAAGGGAAGGCTATAGTGTTGTTATTCTCTTTCCCGTTGATGATAGCGGACGCTTGTATGTATCCGATTTTTTTTAGTTATTGATCACGACTGCATACAGAGTTTGGAGTTGGCGTCTTGAATTCCCCCTTTTCTCATGAAGTATGCGTGTTTGAGGGCGAGTTTTACGGTTGACATTGAGTCTGCCTTCCTGTCACTTTCGAGTTCATGCATTCAACAGCTAGGAAATAGTATTAATGCCTGACGAGGCAAGTCTTATGTCGAAATTGTATTCAACGTCTTATTATGTTTCCTTGTCTACATGCCCGCCCACTCAATACTATATGTAGTCACGTTCTCCGGCGCCTCGCCCTTGGAAGGATCGCTCCCGCCGATAACAAAGGCCTTCTTGACGGCCGTGGCAAGCCTGCCCCCCTCGATGATGTCCAGGATGGGGATCTCCTCATCCCAGTCATACTGGTTGGCCATGAAGTGAGCGTGGAACCGCAAGGGGTCACCGGGGTAGACGCTGTATTCCGAGCCAAACCGCAGACCCGGCGTGGTGTGGTAGCCCCCATCCTGCAGGTACCGCGCGAGAGGACCCTCGGGGGCATCCGAGACCTCGAACTCGCGGTCTACGTCTGCGGGGATCAGGTCCCTGCTCGAGGTCGGCGTGACGCCGAAATTATCCATAGGAGAATCTGCAACACGGGGGCTGGACGCCGACACGGCCGGAGCACCGGCGAACAGGGCGTCGCTATCAGAGGGAGGAGCAGGAGCATTGGGAGAAGCAGCGGCGGGCTTGGCCTTTGACTTTTTACGCCCCGCCTTATCAGCTGCTACGGCGGCCTTTTGCGCCGCGCGCTCGGCGAGGACCTTGTGGGCAGTGGCCTTATCTCTCCGGAGGGACTGGATATACGCGGTGCGGTCAGACGAGCGCAGGGCTGCCTGGTGCGCGGCGACATCATCTACGACACGGGCAAGGTTCTTGTGGACGAGCGCCTCGGCCTCCTCGGGGCGGAGCTCAATGGGGAGCCCGAGGAACATGTTCTGCGTGGGCTGCTGCGGCAGTGTGCCTACCAGGGAGCCGTTTGTGTTTGCCTCACGGCGGAGGATGGACGCATCCTCGTGATCGAAGACGAGGTACCGGCCTGCGATCTTGGAGATGCGTGGCAGAGGGCGCGAGGGCCGAGCTGTTACGGTGGTCATGATGGATCTGTTTGCCAACGGGCGCGGTTAGCAGATGATCCAAAGCCAAGAAGAGAGTGGTTCTGAACAAGGTGGATAGGGCAATTAAATCATAAGTCGTCTTCGTATTGATTGAATGTGTCGTCACAGAAATTCAGTGGATTGACAGATATTCATGTGCATAATCATGTAATTGCGTGGATGAAACAAGAGAAAAGCAGCATTGGCTTACCTAGGAGACAGCAACTTGGCAGATTGTGCGTTCTATATATCAGGCTGGCACGCAACCGAACGCCAACAAGAATTGTTGTTGAAGAAGAGCAGAAAATAATTTCGAAGCTTTGGCGAAAGTTTTAAATGCGTCACCCGGGTGAACCGTGGTAGAATTTTAGCTACTGCTGGTGGTGGGGCGGAGGAGCTTTTAGCGCTGCTGCATCCACCAAGAACCAGTGCTGGTGGACTCGACGCGGAAAGGGAAGACGGGATAGCTGAGGTTCAAAAGTCAAGTGATTCTTTCTTCTTCTTCTCATCTGACTTCGCAGCCTTGGCCCTTTCCTCCTCCTCCTCCTCCTCGCCCACTGGCGGTAGGCTGTATGGTGTGATGACCATGCCGCTGGAAGCGCTGAGCTTGAAGGACAGGTCTTCCCGGGACCAGGACCCTTCTAGGCCGCCTCCCTTTTCGTGGAACACAGGTAAGCTGTGTGCTCGTAGAAGACCTTGTTCCTTCTCCTTCTCGCCGGGCTCACGGCTCATCTGGCTTTGGTGGGGCAATGGGATCAATTCGAGGACTCCATCCGCAAGAAGCTCGGCCCAGCGCGTGAGACCCGTTGATCGAGGATACAATGAGACAGGTAGTGTGACCATGGCAGTGGTCTGATGGGGAAACTTTCTGAGTATTGCTCGGAGATTGTGGAGAAACTGAAGAAACTCCTGGGGTTTGCAAGCCGAGGACGAGTACAGCGTAGGCGAGAGTAGACTGGGCACCACGATCCTGTGGACAGTCGAGGGAGGAGAGTTTTTGATCTTGGAAACCACATCGGCCACGAACCGCTTGAAGGGAGTTTGCGGTGACGCTGAGAGGACATCTGCGCCAGGCATAGCATGAAGCTTGCCTTGGATGGCGCTGCTCTCTAGCCGCTTGGTGAGATCAAAGCTGTGGCAAAAGGTTCCTCCACCAGGCGTAGGTACCGAAGACGGCTTGGAATCTTGTAGTTGACCACGGGTTAGCGAATTCCCAACATGGATGATAGATATTATGCCATACCTGGGGCCGACGGGTTCCTAGCCTGAGGGTTGCCAAAGGTTTCATATCTCCAAGCAATCTTCATCTTGTCGTCTGCTGGGGCATCCTTCTTGCTGCTGCGTGACTTGCTTCCTCCAGTAAGGTCAAGCGCTGGCAACTCACGGCGCCAGTTGCTATCATAGCCCAGAACATGGACTTCGTGTCCCTGCACCAGCCCTTCGGCAGCATAGTAGCGGAGCAAAGTTCCTCCAAAATCCGTCGTTCCGGCCTCTTCAATGAGAAGCGATGTGCCTAGGGGAAATCCAGAATGCCCGGCAAGTAATTGGTCGAGCGATGAGGTGCCTGTCGATGTAGTGAGCCGACCATCGAGAGGCGACGGCCTTATGCCTGGAGCCAGAGCCTTGTCTTTTCGGGGGACAGCAGAAGCTGGTGCGCCGTTGCCTGTGCCCCCGATAACGACGTTCCTCTTACGGAAAGACATTGTGATGGGCAGGTGTTGAAATGGACAGATAGAATGGCCTAAATCTCATACCATGTACTGTAAAAACAGCCAATCCACTCAACAAAAGCCTGGTGGGAAAGACTCCTCTGCGTCTCTGGTTCTGATTTTCATCTTGGTGGGGTTGGCGCTGTGAAGTGGGATGTACCCCGATTCAGCAATATGCAAGTATCTCAAACTCAAGCTTAGAAGCTCCGCCCCTCCAAAATAAATTTCATCATACCAAGACAAAGAGAGTCCCCTTGCCCTTCACTGCCGATTGCGCCCCCAACACGCCAAATACACACCTCGCGCGCCTAAAAATACCCGTTCCCTTCGATCCTCGCCCAGAAAACCCCAATTCAAAAATGTCCGGCGGAGCAGACGCAACCCTCTTTGAGGACCGGTTCCAGGTCACCGACTACGACCAGTCCAAGTATGACCGGGTCGCGCGCATCCAGTGCATTTCCGCAGACAACCAGACCGAGATGACCCTCGACATCAACATCGAGCTGTTCCCCTGCGCCGTCGGCGACACCCTGCTCGTCGTCATGGCCACCACCCTCAACCACGATGGCACCAAGGACGACGACAAGGGCTGGCGCGACGTGAGCAAGCTGCCCGACGCCCCCTCCACCATCGCCGACGCCTACGACTATGTGTGCTATGGCAAGATCTACAAGTTCGAGGAGACCTTTGACGGAGAGAAGATGTGAGGTCCCCCCCCCTTAAATTCTGACCTTGCTTGCTTCGGCTCTCTTTGAACTATGGTAACTGACTGGTATTGTGATTATAGCAACGCCTACATGTCCTACGGAGGCCTGCTCATGTCGCTCAGTGGCCCGATTAAGAAGCTCACGCCTCTGCGAGTCGACTACGTCTACCTCCTTGTTAAGAAATAGAGAGCCCCAAAACGAAATAAAGAAACCAAAAGGAATCCCACCCGATGAACACCGGAAAGAGAAAAAAAAGTTACTGGAAGACCTGATAGGCTGGTCATTTGAATATTCCCAAGCGTGTAAACTTTGCATTTTTCAATAATAGAAAGACTGGGGAGATCCACCGTCATATATACAAACAAATACCATGCAGAATGTAGAAAAGCTGAAGTAAGTACACATGGTCTTCTTATCCCGACAATGCTCAGCTAGGTGAATGGAATGGAACTTCTTTCTTAGCTTGTTTTATCCGACCCATTGGATCGTGTGTCCTTACGACTGGGTCTGCTTTGTATTATGTGGCCCTGGGAAGGGCATCTCGCGGTGCATTCTGTTCTGAATCTCCTTGATGGCAGGTTCATTCTCGTCAGTCAGAACGCCTCTTCGGATGAGGAAATCTATAACGCAAAGGGCACAGTTTGACTTGTACTCCCCATTCTCAAGGCTCTTCCTGGTGTCATTGACGTCGGAGAGGAAGAACTCGGCAACTTCACCGTCCTTGGGTATCGGGACGACATCCTTGGGCAGCTCCAGCTCGTAGACCCATTGGCACTCGGGGTAGATGAAGCCCCCCTCCCCTACTTGCTTCTCGTCGGTGATGTAGATGTAGGTGACGTTCCCGATGAACTTGGCTCCCGACCGCACCACCTCCTCCGGCAGACTGGCCTCCTCGTCGGCTTCCCGGACCAGACACTCAAACGGATCCTCACCGGTACAGAGACCTCCGGCTACAGTGTTGTCCAGCATGTTGGGGAATGTGGACTTGTCAGGTGCTCGCCTGGGAACCCAAAACCTGAAGCCAAACGGGGCGGTCTCGTCCTTGATGTAGGCGATCATGTGCACACCGTACCTCATGGTGCCAAAGAGACCCATGGCCACTCGCTCCACGCTGAACAGCAGCTCGCCCTTGCGGCTGTAGACGGGCCAGACCTCGTTCCTCCAGCCCTTGAGGAGCTTGAAGGTCTCCTTCTCCCGCCAGTACTCGGCTAGTTTGGCCACCTGGGCTGACCGCTCCTCCTCTGTCTCGAGGTTCCCAAAGAGCTTGATGGTGCGGTTTTTCAGGTTGAAGTCCATCTCGCCCTTGATGCGGACCGGGACCCGGATGAGCTCCTTGTAGACTCGGTCAAGGATATATCCAATGGGGTATGAGCCATTCTCATCATCCCAGACCAGAGTCCAGATGTCATCCTGCCAACGCTTGTGGCCCTCCGGGTCTGTCTCTGGGTATGGAAACCTATTGACATGCCATGATCAGTTCCAAGTCCCCGAGACGGTTAAGAATGCTTCCCCATACCCATCGACATCATGGATCAGGTCGAGATTGGTCTTCATTGTGAATCTATCTCTGGCTGCGATATGATACAGAGCGTAGGATGGGGAAATGGCGGGGTATTGCTGGTGGTTGGAGGCTATTCTGGGAATAAGAGAGTGTGAGCCACTTTTATAAGTCAGTTCTACAGCACACGACTGCGCTTTCCGTGCCGAGAGCAGCAGCTTCAATGCCGTCTTGTCGAATCTGTGTAGGCACTTCATATATAAAAGGCCTGCTTATCCCCACTGCCTCACTCATTCCATGGTAGGGACATATACATGGTAGTTGAGAAAGCCTCCTCCTGACCAAGCAGCCCTTCAATTGATGGTCGTTCCTATTCTGGTAACACGGCACCTGCCGCCCCACTTGATGGAATTCTACATCCTTCCATCACTCACAGACAAGATCGCATGCGCTTAAAGCCTTCTCTCACGGCCTGTCTTATACCACAGTCTTGTCTTACTCTCCCTTTGTTTCCCATCTTATTATATCCCACCTCATAGCCAACACCCGGGTTCTTCAAACCCTCGCGCTCAACTCGCGCTCACTCAATTGGCCTTCAAAAGTGGTGCGCATCCGCCCACCAGTGTCTCAACCGCACGCCTCTCTGTCTCACAGAAACGCAGGAACAAGACAAGACAAGAACAATTGGAAACTTGAGAGAGACAGATAAAGAAAAAAAAGGAGACACCAAGAAACAATGGCAGACCCCCTCTTCGGCATCGTCCCCGCGGGGCTGCCCCTCATCACATCCCCCTCCCAGTCGCCCTCGCCGACATCCCTCCTCTACGCCCTGCCCACCACCAAGCACTTCACCCACATCACCGTCCTCCTCCTCCCCAACGTGCCCCTGCCGCCACAGACCGCCGCCGCCATCTACCTCGCCACCGCCCAGGACGTCGTCGCCAACGGCAGCGCCGCCAAGTACCGCTTCCTCGGCGCCATCGGCCCCGGCAAGGAGAGCGCCGTCTTCAAGATCTCCTCCGCCGACACCCCCGGCGGCCTCGTCCTCGGCGTCGAGATCGAGCCCGAGGACGCCGTCGCCCGCCA